TCAGTGTACCCTGTCAGATCGCATGGTCAAGTCTTCCGCTGTGTTTATTTCTCCCTGTGCGGTGTGATACTCCTATCCTCTCCCCTTCCTTCTGTGTATGTATGGGCATACTTGGAAGTCTATGTGAGTGAGTGTTGGCCTTCAGGCAACGAACAACCAGAATCATAACAGTTGGTATCGGAACGATTGGATCCAGACTCTGGAGCGATTGATGAGTTGGAGCACCCGTCATCATCTGGTGAGATACTGGAGTTGAATCTCATGGCGATTTATCATCTTCGGGGTTGTTGTCAGTGAGGGTGGTGGTGGTGAGTGTGTGGTGAGAAGCAATTGGCAGAGTGTGACACACTCCTGGCGAGAGTTAATGCAGGAGTGAGTGGCGAGAGATATTCAGAGGCCTGAGAGGCTCTGAAAGGCTAAATTTAGCCTGGCGATTCATCTGGAGGCTGGCGAATCTCAAGGAATTGTTCCTAGGAGGTTGCGATTTTGGAATTGGGTCAGGATCCCCAATTTCCAAGCAGCATAGTACAGGGTGATGTGGCGCTGCACTGAGTTCATCAGTTATCAGCATCTGGGACTTCAAATTTTGTGATTCTGTCAGTTGGGGGTGAAGCGCTTAAGGGTAAACTACTGGATCACCAAGTTTGATGCAATTTGGTACGTGGGAACACTGGATACTGTCAGGAGATGAAACTGGCGAGATGGGGTTGACCAGACAGCCATAGCCAAGGTTTCATACATCTTCTTCAGAGTTGACCCTGAAGTAAGTGTGTTCCTTACTCCACCCTGTGTGGCAATTTTGGAGCTATTTTTAGAATAGTGAAATTTGGTCTGTCTGCCAGGTGACAGTTGAAAATCGAAATTCAGACTGTCGGACAGCCATATCCAACTTCCCCTACCTATCTTCTTTGACTTCTACTAACCCTGTTTGACCTCTTCTCTGACTCAACTTTCATTTGCTACTGTTGTACAGTGTTGCGATTCATACCTGATTGAGAATTGGATTGTTTAGGGTCAGTTTGTCTGTAATCATGCAAATTTGAATTCTGCGCTGACATAGTGAAAGCTTGGCTAGCCTAGGGTCAGTCATAACTTTGATTCTGTCCGTCAGAATTCGATTCCGTCAGTCCCTGGTATATCGCAATTCAGTATTCAGTCATTGTCTGAAATCGCACATCCAGATTTGATGTTTCGAGTCAGGTACAGTAAAAACTGTACTTCGCCATACCCAGGGTATACAAGGTCATACAGTGGTGAGGTCTGTAGGGTAGGTCTAAAAATAGGGTAACCTGTAAATCGCTGCATCGTGGTAATCAGTGGATACCTGTCTGATCCTAATTAGTCACTCTGTCTAATTACTAACCAATACTAATCAGTCCAAGACTGCATCCTGTCAATTGTAGGTGCATGATTTGCAATTATGGCATGCAATTGAAGTGTCAGGCCAGTGATGGGAAAATCGTGAATTGGATTTTTGCCTGAGTGGACTCTAAACTGACCTGGACCCTCAAGCGGTCTGCTGAGACTGAGCACTCACTTGCTCACACTAACCAACCTTCTCTCTCCAGGCAGGTGACAACACTTGAGTGAGTTCTGAAGGGAAATCTCAATTCCTGTTATCTCCTGTTCTGTCTCTGATTGATTGTTTGTTTATTTTTATTTATCTGCATTGTGGGTGAGTAAAAAATGGATGATTCTGGAAAAACAGTAGTGTCTGATCAGGTTGAGACTTCTGAGGCGAAACCTCAGATAGTACAGCCCCAGACACCGGTTCTGCTTGACCCTCTAGAGGTTGAACTGCGGGCCCAGGAGGGAAAACTCCACCTGCAGGCCCAGACAGTTGAGACTCTAAAGGCTGAGCTAAAAAAGAAGGAAGCCTCAACTCAGAAAGAGGCCAGGAGGAAACTGCTCATTGCAGACATGCGGAAGATCATAACAGCGGTTCTTCCAGTCAGCTCAGTAAGGACATGGCTGAATTCATCCTCTTGCACGACGATATTCACCGTTCCTACTTTACTGACGGGGACGGGGATGACAGGATTACCAGTCTAGAGAGCAGCCACTCAGCTTTTTCTAAAAAGCTGGATGACATCTCTGCCAAACTGGATATGATCTTCACACATCTAAAGATTCCATCTGCTCAGACTGTTTCTCCACCTCCTGGACCTTCTCAAGTAGGCACTCAGCATCCCCCACAATCCAGACCTACATCCCCACCTGCTACACCCAAATCACCAGCATCTTCTCAATCCTCTGGCTCATTTGAGATGCAGCGGCCCAAGCTGACCCCTCCACCCATGTTCTCTGGCGAGGACCCTAAGGTGAATGTTGCAGATTGGGTGGCTGCACAGCGAACCTACCTGAGTGGGTTCAAATGTGAAGAGGATGTCAAGGTGAGCGCCATTCTGGCTCGCCTGGAAAAGACTGCACTGAAATGGTGCACGTCTACGGCAAGCAAGCAGCAAATGGAGATGGCTGATTGGGCGCACAGGTTGGGGGTGGCTAGGTTTTTGCAGGCGCTGCAGGATCGGTTTGCAGACAAGGAGCAGGCCAGAAAAGCAGCAGACAAAATTTTGCACCTGGGCCAGAAAAAGTTTGATGGCTCCTTGTCCAAACTGTACTCTACCTTTGAGAGTCTCACTTCGACTCCGGGGTTGGAGATGAGTGAGCAGGATCTGCTCATTCATTTCCTCAGAGCAGCCCCTGATCAATACCAGCTTGCACTTTTCTCTCAGGGCCATAAGGACTGGCGGTCCTTTGGCAGAGCAGCCCTGGACTTGGAGTCCAAACTCCATGTCTAGGAAGCACCTTCTGAAGGAAGGAAGGGACCCTCCTCCAAAGGGCGAAGGAGGAGGAAGGGTGCCCTGTTTGCTGCTGCAGCTTCAGGTTCAGATAGCGATGCACCATCCCAGGGTGGGAGCCCTCCACCTGGGACTGCATCATCATCTGCTGCAGATTCTGTTGTTCTTGCCCTGGCTGATGCCTTGATGGGCTTGACTAGGGGCAAGGCCCCGGCCCAAAAGGCACCAACCAGCAGCAAGGGGAAAGGTACGGGACGTGCCTCTTCCCCTGGTGCCCAGAGAGTACCTTTGCCACGTGACGTCCGATGGCCAGCTGATCCCCTTGATCCTTCCACGTTTCCCTAGCATGCACTCAGGATCCAGGAGGGGGTATGGAGGAAGAGAAAGGACAAGGGGGTCTGCCTGAGATGCGAGGGGGACCATTTTTTGAAGGACTATCCCAGCATGCCTCGTAGGTCTACAGGCAACTCTAGTGGAAGCAGCAGCTCCTTCCACCAGTGCTGAGTCACTTTCTGATAAAGGTGAATCCTCACAATCTCTCGCTGGTTCTTATTCTGTTGGAGTTGCATCCTCGGGGTCTTTCACTTTCGAAGACTCTGAGTTGGATGAGACGTGGGAGGAGGAGGATGCTCAGTGTTTGGCTGATCTTTTCCTGTCTTTAGAGGAGAAGAAAAGATA